TAAAAGGGCCGTGAAGTGTTTCGCTCCTGCGGACATGTAAAAGATAAAGTTGCAGCCAATGAATAAATATGTATACGCTCGAGGGAATGCCGCGCGGAACGCGCGGCAATGATATTCAACAAAAGCGCATCGAAAACGAGAAGGGAATAAGTAATGGGACGAGTAGTAATGGCCGACTGGCCCTTTTTTTCCTTCCCTCTTACTTACTCTTACTACCAACCTATCTATCTACTTACCAATCAACCTACCTTCACCAATCAAAATCCACACTCGCTTTTCCGAGCTTTTATTTATACGCCTTAAAGCGGGAGAATGAGAGTTACGGGAAGGGACACGAGGATTACGAGGCCCTGCGCGCATTTCTGCCAGCGACGGCTTATCTCGTCAGCTCGACGATCTCGAGTGCAGCGATGTTTTTGTTCGTGGTGCGACGCCTTGGCAAGAGCTTTTTCGTCCAGTCTCTTATCGTCGTTACGCTGGCAACGTCCTCGACTTGCTTGCTTAACCATTCCCATCGCCGTTTTATTACACCAACTGCTTGCGATGGATTTTCCGTTCGGTCATCGGTTCTGCTTATCTAACGATTCAAATTGCCGCGAAAATGTCAATGATGGATTATCAATTTCGTGTCCGATCTAATGTCGGATATAATGTTCAATAGGACATTGCAGGAGCGTGGATTGGGTTGGTGATGTAACACTTGGGCAGAGCCATTATCATCAGGCCCAGTGTCATAATATATAAAAACCAGTGATTAAAGGAACTCTCTTTATTGTACGCATTATAATACACATTTGCGCAACATTTTCATTGGTGCGCAAATTACGAGATTATTTTTTCCTTCTAGTAATACTGCGGTAGAGGTGTTACAATTGGCGGATAAGTAAAATTAAATAGACAAAAAATTAAATAGATGGTATTATAAATAAATTACAAGCCCGCTTACAGCCTAGGGATCTCTTTATAAATTAGCATTAAAGATTTATTTATAATTCTTCATTAACGTACTAATTAATCGATTGACGGATCTGGCAAGGCGTGCCCGACTCGACCGAGCAATCATCGCTATCGATCAAAGACGAGTCGCCTTGCCTTTCGTTATATCGCTCATTCATTCGCTCATCCTCTCGCACTCTTGTTCGCCCTTTATCTCTATTAACATCAATAAATCGCCTGAAATAATAGTCACATCAGTTTGGAATAGACACGAATAGCTTTTGTTAATTACAAGACACTTTATGTTCATTATTTCGCTGTGAATATGTTTCATTGTGCGTCAGTTAAGCATTTTTGGAAAGCCATTGATGAAAAAATTGCTTCGATATGAAGCGATGAGAGTTAGATGTTAAAATTGAAAATTTATTATTGGTTATTTAAGATTAACAGTACGATTAAAGAAAACAAACAAATAACAAACGTCCCGCTCGAGTTAACGAAAAGTGACCGCGATCAGACCCAACAAAGACGTAGTGATGAAAAAAAAAAAAATAAATAAATAACGCTCTCGATAGATTTGCGAGAGACAAAAAGTAACATAGATTTGAAATTGCCTTGAAGGGTCAGTTGTGCGACCTCAATTTCACTTGGTGAATTTTAACTGCGCATCGGCTTCATCGGCCAACTTTACTCGACTAAATGAAACGAAGTCTCGTATTGTCATGAGCGCGAGATAAAGAGTGAAAAAAAAATAAAAAACCAAAAAAAAAAAAAAAGAATAAAGCAAAAAAAAACCTAAAAAAAAAAATCTAAAAAAAAACACAAAAAAAAATAAATAAAAAAACAAAAAAAGACAAAACGAACACACCACGATCGGTGAACCGTGCCTTCGTGCGTCTTCGTCCTTGGTATCATTATTACGCTATGATAAAGAGGATAGGATAGTGGAATAAAATTGCACTTTTCATTGTTTTTGAATTTTTGAAAGAGGAGACGTCATTCGTGTCCCCCCTTTGCGCCAGATAATCTCAGCAATGTGCATTGGCTCCGATTACGTGATTATGCGCTTGCGAATGGGAAAATTCAAAGCACGATAGGCTTTATAAAAATCAACGACTAATCCGAGGACTCGTACAGAGTATCCAAGGTATCTAATCGAGATATTATGGTTTAAAAAGGATCCCGTACGTCAATTCGGCTTTCACTACGTTGTTTTCGACCTCTTGTCATTACAAAATTTATACGATATGTACCGCTTTTATGTTTAGCCTTAGAAGCAGAAGAAGAGAAAGAAGAAGAGAGAAGAGAGAAGAGAAGAGAAGAAAGAGAGAGAGAGAGAGAGAGAGAGAGAGAGAGAGAGAGAGAGAGAGAGAGAGTAGAAGAAAAAAGAAACTGTACAAAAAAATATATTGCGAATTTTACATATAAATACGAGAGCTTTTGGAATACAAAATATTCTTCTACAGTTCTGTATAATTAATGCTGGTTAAATTTTTCTTGTAAAAACAATATTATATATTAAAAATATTTTTTAATAATTGGAAATATTAATAAATGTGTTACTTTCTTTGTAAATATTAAATTTTAAAATAATCATAATTTTTATTATTAATCAGAGATATATTCTTAATATTAATTTAATGTTTAAATAATTATTGTTACAATCAATAATAAATTAAATCCTTTGGTAGTATAGGTTATACTAAAAAAAAAAAAAAAAATAATAATTCTATAAATAGCTTTTTTTTTGGTTGTTTTTTTGTTTTTGTTTGTATGTTTTTTTAGAGTTTTTGTTTTGTTTTGTTTGTTTGATTTGTTTGTTTCGTTTGATTAATACACAAAGTGAGAATGCATATTACGTAAACGATATGTTTGTTTTTTTTTTGTTTTTTTTTGTTTTTTTTTTGGTTATTGATTTATTTTTTGTTAACGAGCTATAACTCAATTATTATTGCAGAAATTATTTTACTTTACAAAAGCTAAATTCATATGTTTCAAACGATACTGCATAAAAAAACTTAGCAGCAAACATAAGAATGAAAGAATTTTTCATTGCATTAACATGCCAATTACATTTTCATTATCGTTGATTAAGTAAGCATATATATTAAAGTAAAATGATAGATTGGAAGTTATCATACTCTCTATTGTCGATTAAAAATTTTGCTCATGCAGTAAGTCGAAAACAATTTAGTATTCACGTTGACAGAGATTACGCGGTGATATAAAACAGCTGCACTAACGACTGGCGTAAATTATTATTCTATTCATTAGTCGATTAAACTCATAAAAAATAATATTCTATGTGAATATAATTTTTAATAACAAATAAGCTTATTGTTATGTTAATTGCTTTTCTTTTTTTTTTAATCTTTGTAGGAAATGGATGTTTTATCCAAATTGCGCTTAAAAGAATAATTCTAAAAAGCATTAAATTTCCTGAAATTACTTTCGCCCTTAAATGCTTAATTAAATATTAATTAAATAATCAATCGAATGTCTCGTTATGTTAAACAATAGTTTGCATCGGTTACATATAAAGCTGTCTCTTTTCGCTATTAGAAGAACGAAAGAAAAGTCATTTTCCCGCAGCAATCAATAATACTCAATAATTCCCTCCAGATTAATTAGAAAATATTATTATTATGTTATTCAAGAATTTGTTGCTATTGTTTATCAAATTTCTGATGAAGCACAAGTTAAAAATACTGCATTACTCCAATAAATGAGTGTAAATCATAGGTTTTCTAATAAGAATATTAAATAGCAAGTTACGCTTGGGTATCATTATGATTCGTGGAGACTTGTCAATAAAATTTTCAGAATCACCAATCATAAGTATAATGACTCGGTAACACGACATTTATACTATTAATTTATATTATTGAAGGATGAAATGTACTTAATATCAGAAATTAACATAATATAAACTACTTGATTTGGGAAGCAAATGGATTTGGCGCACTACAATAAGGACATTGTCGGTATGGTTGAAGGATTTTTGCAGGCGCAGATAACTACTATAAAGACTTTTATAAATTGAATTCGCTTGTTATGTAGAATTAATTATCAATTAACATTTATTATAATCTATAGACGCTTAAAGCGAGACGTGTAAAAATTATTAAATATTTTTTGCACTGTAAAAATGTTGTCCGTTCGATTAACACAGTAATTTTATGTGAAATTTAAGAGCCCATATGTACATACAGTCCCTACTTAACAAACAATCGCTTGTTAAAGTAACAGTAAAGCACCTGTTATTCAATTTTAATAGACAGTGCCTATTAAAATTTCTAACCGTGTAATGAGTTGCCGAGAGATCGATTATATACGAGTCAAAAGCAATTTCATTTGTTTTATTGGTGACGTTTCGATAACACGATTATTGCCCCCTTTTATAAACTCGTGATATTACTCGTCGGTCGTCTATTCTTCAAACTAAAATTTACAGTACATTCGCCATATTTCACTCTCTTGTCACTAAATAGCTTATCGCCCATTACATTTCCTATCGATTGACCGACGGTCACGAGCTCAATAAATATCCAGCGATTATTTATTCTCGCCAAGCCTTTACTTCGGCTGCAGTTCACCCGAGCAATAAGATTAGTCGCACTTGCGCAATAATATCAGCACATTAAATGGAAAAATTTTAAGGCAAAATCGAAAAAAATTGAGATAATCAAAATTAACGCATCATAAGCTAAGCGGATCTTACGCGATTGATTGATATTGCTCGCCGAAAGCCCTTGTGCAACGACAAAAATCGACATTCTCGCCCTCCCCTCCTGCCTGCCCCCCCTCCCCCACCCTCCCCCACCCCATCCCCCGCCCCACTCCATCGCCCACCGTAACGAAGAAACGTTAGTCGGGAAGTTCCCTTCTTCAAGACTGAGATCATCATAATTCGATTTACTTGTACGGCTTGCGCGCTCGCCGAAATGAGCCAAGCCGAGCCGTAGTAGAGCTACACGATCTACCTTCAGAAGTAAAAACGCAAAGGCGCGCGCGTGCGGTGCGCTCGTCGCATCGAGGCGATTGGTAATTCTCGTCACCGGCGCTCACTTGCACACGGTGATCCACTCCTCGACGGTGCAGTTCTGGCACTGTACGAAGCAGCACCAGTGAAACTTGCAGCTACACCTCTCGGTTCTGCGCTGGCGCACGACGTTGTAGCCACGGCCGCAGCAGAGGGAGGCGCATCCGTCGCCCCCTGCGCTCGGCCGGTTGCACCTGCGCCCTGAGGTGCCCGAGATGTCCGCCTGGGAGTCCCGCTCGCAAAAGTTGGGCGATTTCTGGAAGAAGAAGAGCTGGCCCGCGAGCTGATGGACCTTGCGGCCCTTTCGTCCCGGTGCATTGCCAGGGACGAGGCCCGAGGCGCTGTTACGGTGCTTGCGCTGCCGTTGCTGGTTGCGATGGTGTTCCAGTCGGTTGCGCCTCCGGAAGCCCCGCACGCGATTCAGCGGCGTCACGTTTCCAAAGTTACTCTGAGCCACGGCAACCGCGTTGCGGAAGCGGTTCTTCAGGGTCCGCCCGACAATGCGGAAGTCCGGCACCACCTTCCAGCAGGTCTTAAGCTCGCAGGAGCCCGACATCCCATGGCACTTGCAGCGCACCTGCATGTTGCTCGCCACCGCCTGTAAGTCAGAGTTCCGGGCCTAGTCAATCTTGTCCCTCTCGATCCTCTCATCCTCGATCCTTCGATTCCCACTACCTGGTATGGCCGATGTTCCCGCGCTACTATCATTCCCAATCAACCGTCTCACTACTTACGTCAGCTTAGCCACCCGACAATTCTCTTTTATCCTGTTCTATTGCTTTTTATGAAGAGATGCGATATCCGCGAGACAGCTGTAAGAGGACGCGCGAGTGTTGGTTTTGGGCCGAAATACAAGTGGACAAATTATCTCTGGTGGCATTAATTGGCAGTCTCTTTCCTTGGACTGCACACGAACATTTTGAGCGATAAAACGCTGGCAACGGGCCGCTCGCTCGATAGATTCATCAGAAAATTAGAGCCGTAAAATCCTTAGGGTCCCCACCCAGCCCTGCGTCCCTCAACAAATCGACCAATCGCCCTCATTCTCTCGGTATTTGCCGTTTCACTTCGACGCGGGACAAGCGTATCGAATACGCTTCTTCCCTCCTCGTTCTCTCTTTCTTCGTCAAACCGTACGGCTCGCTTTCCTTACCGCCCCGGCTTCCAAACAAATAAAAATACTTCCAAATCTAAAGCTCCGTACAAATAGGTGGGTTATACGCGTGAATGAGCTTTTCAGCTTGGCTTGGTTCAGCGGCGATCTACGCAGGGCTGCTGTGATATCGCGGTAACGGCCGAAGCTGGCATAGAGGAGGAGGAGAATGAGGAATAGGGCTCGGAGGGTGGTGATGATGGTGGTAAGAAAAAGAAGTTTCTTTTAGATAAAGAGGTGTCGCGTACAAAACAGTTAATGAGTCTACGGCTGGGTGGTCCAGCCGAGGGCTTCGTCTTAATAACGTCGAGGCGAGTGCGACTGCGGAGAGCAAGAAGAGCAGGAGGAGGAGGTGGCGGAGAAGGTGGAGGTCTTGCGTCTTTCTTTCTTTTCCGGCGGCTTAAGAGAAAGAAAGATGCGGCGAGCGATGGGGATGGGAGTAGGAGCGAAGGGAGAGGCAGACAGCCACACGGAAATAGGGGAAAGAAGAGAAGATTGGAGAGCGCAGTTGAGGAAGAAAAAGAAGTGGAAGATGTCCGAGGATAACTCGAGCTCACCTCGGACTCCCTTCGAACGAGTGCGCATCGCGACGTGCACGCATGCACTCAATTATTCACGTGTCCAAGTTACGCACACGTGCGCCATTATTCCAAAGTGGCCTGGCTACGCGCATCGCGAATTTGCCCCACACGCGAACCTCAGGGCTAGGAACGTGGAAGATTCACGAGCGGATATTTCGAATCGACAAGCAATCCCTAGGAAGCATTGTTCTTGGATAATATGAGCCTTTATAAGGGGCATCTCATTAGCCTCGCTCTTGATTTAGTAGCGACGACTGCGCGTAAATTATGAATTTCGTCGGGCTAATTTGTATTTTATGCTTAATTGGAGAGGATTGGCTTTGATGAGGTCGAAAAATCATTAGAATGTTGTAAAAGCTTTAATTGTGATAAGCACGTATATGATTGGGCCTCGGATAGAATCAAGCCGTCGGTAGAATCAAGGAATGCGAGGACGAGGTATCAGAAAGAGGAGCAAACAAATATAAATAAGTAAAATTTTTGAGCAAAATGAAAGTAACGAGCATATTTGACATATTTTCGAATATCCCGACTACGCGCCTATCATTTAAGTCCGTTTAACGGCGAACGGCTAATGTGAAAACGGCGAGCGGCGCGGAGATTGTAACGAAGAAAGCCACTCGATAACTTTTAGCCCTTTCAAGAGCCGCTATCGCCTCTTATCGGCACGGCCATACCCACCACGTACACATCACGTAATGAGGATCATACTCACGTTGCGCCCTGCTTGATTATTGTGCAGGTTGACGGTGGACTGTATGTCGCCGGCGACTTCGCGGGCGTCTAGGAACTGTTTGGAAAACTCCATGCCGTACTCGAGATTGTGGGAGCAGCCACTCCACTTCCACTGGGTGCTGCCGCCCCCTGACTTGGTCGACTTGCCCGTGTAGCTCGAGGGGTCGCAACCGCAGGATATCAACCGGCCCATACTGCAGGCGCGTGACACACTGTGCGCCACCCCAGCCGAGGATATGGCATACACGAACGCCGTCTCCCGGTAGCCTAAAACAGATGGATCATTGTGTCTTGTGTACTTCTCGGCGGTCATTATCCATTTGGCGGGGACAAGTTCTGTCGCGCGCACAAAACGCAATTCCCATCGAGTCGAAAGCGTGCATTCCACGATCGCTCGATGAAAAAATATTCAGAGAACTTTTATTCTTTGCTCTCGACCTTCCAATCTACTTACTTACCTACCTATCTACCTACTTACCTACCTACCCACATAACTATTTATTAATCTAATACTCCGTGCCTATCTGTGCACGTCTGAATATCTACACGCATGCGCGCGCGCGTCTGTGCCTGGGTTTGGGTAGTTGTTTGATTTTTCGTGTGCGCTCGAGCGCCTCTGTGCGTATATATAAATTTTATGAATTCTTACAGAGTTACTAAATGGGAAGAAGGCTTATTATTCATTGGAGATATCAGATTTAAAATTAAGGGCATCTGCTCTTAAGTACCCTTTCAATGAAATATTACTTATTTTATTACTAACGTTCGAATATATAGGCAGGCAGGATATTTATGTAGAGTACAGATTAATTTTGATTCGGAGTATAGAATAATATGAATATATTTTTGTAAGCATTACTTGCATTCGTGAACTGGTAAAAACGTAAAATGGTGCAATTTTTATACACTTTCGAGTATAAATTTCGTATTACTTTAAGAAATGTTGTAACATTAAGCTATGTAACAGCAACCACAACGTCAACGACAACATCAATTACAATTACAACCATAATAATAATAATAATAATAATAATAATAATAATAATAATAATAATAATAATAATAATGTACGTGACAAGACATATACATATACAATATACAATGTTTTTTGTCGACGTAATTATATTTGATATTTTCGATATAATGCCTCTACTCGTGCTTGTGACAGATAATGAAAGAGATTTGAAAATCTTAGTTGACTTTACGCGAGCTTTAAACGAAGTCATAAATTGTTGGCCTTAAGCTTCGTAAGTAACGTGCCTCGTTTTATTTGAAGCGCATGAAATATGAAAAATGTATTGTTGAAAAAAATGTAAGGCACATGTTCATAGCAGTGCAAAACTAACGGCTAATGTCGATTATCAATACTTTATTGTGCTGTAATGTGTAGAAATTTGTATAAAATGAATAATGAAGGATTGGGAGGATTATTTGTTGGTATGCTTAAAAAGTAGCCATTAAACCAAGCATAGGCGAATCTCATCTCTAACGAAGTCGTATTTGTGCTTGACAGAGGCAAAATATATCAATCATTGGGCTTAGCCTTAGTAATTGAAGTACAGGCCAAGTGAACGCGACGCAAACAGGATAAAAATGGCTGAACAAAGAGTCAAGAATGGGCCTTGCCGGAGTGGGAGTCGGAGTCGGAGTTGGAGTTGAAGTGGGAGTTGGAGTGGGAGGGGGAGATAAAGAGAGAGAGAGAGAGAGAGAGAGAGAGAGAGAGAGAGAGAGCGGACCGATACGTCCGAGACGGTTAGTAGTAAAAAGTAAGAAGATAAAGGAGCATCTCCGGGGCTCGACAGGCCGAGAGTGTCGGGAGCGAGTTTCTCTTTGAGTCCGGGCATCCCCTTGATCCGTCGCTCCTCATCATCGAGTCCGTCGGACTCTCGCGTCGCTCGTCAAGCTTAGCAAATTGCGAGCTGGTAGATCGTATGCTCACTCGCGATACGCATCGGACGTCGATCGGGT